AAAGTGGTGTGGCTGTTTCTCAAAAAATTAAACAATAAATTACCATTCGACCCAGCAATTCCACTTCTGGACATACTGCCTATAGAATGGAAGGAAATTTGAACAAAGATTTGCACATTGATGTTCAGAGAAGCATTACTCAGAATAGCCAAAATTTGGAAACAATGGAAAAGTCCATTGAAAGATAAGTGGGTAGGCAAATGAGGTATATCTGTACATCGAAATGTTATTCAAACTTAACAAGGAATAAAATTCCAATACATCGTGCAAAGTGGATGAACCTTGAAGACATTATGCTAACTGAAGTTAGCCAGACACGAAAGGATAATTATCCTATAATTCCATTTATAAAAGATAGAATAGCCAGTTACATAGAGACAGAAAGTAGAATGGTATGTGCTAAGGGATAGGGGGAGAAGAAGTGAGAGTTACTGTTTATAGGGTACAGAGGTTTAATATGGTAAAAGGAAAAAGTTCTGGAAATGGATAGTGTGATGGTTACACAACACTGAATTGCACATGTAGAAATAGTTAACGATAAGTCTTATATTAGATATATATAAAGTGTCCTGGTAGTCTTACACTCTATAAATACACCCTTTTTTCACTGCCCCTTTCCTGCCATGCAGAGCCCCAGAGGTGAATCCCCCTATTTATTCAAATGTGCATCACTCACTGTCCTCTGTGCTGTGTGCCACATGTAGTGCCCACAGCCTCATACAGCCGGTGACTTCAGAGCCAGGACACAGCTCAAGAGTCTTCCCCGAGGCTCCCTCTCTTCTTATTTCCCTGCAGCCTATGCTTCACTTCAACTAGCAGTTCGATTTAGCCGAATTCAGGACAGGTCACCAGGGCTCTTTCTCCACACATGCTGGTCTCACCCCAGGTGGAGTCAGGCAGGGCCAGTCACCAGAGAAGCCCGGAGCAGAGAAGGGAGCAGTCTGAGCTGCTCCTCCCTCATCCAAGGGGCTTCCTCCTCTCATTTGGGGGAAAAATGTGAGCTTGTTTCAAAGCCTCAGATATCCTTGTAGCTCATGGAGTAGGTAAAAGGAAACAAAGACGTGGGAGAAAGAGATGTGTGGGTGACAGCGAGAAGCAACGTGACCTTGAGGACTCTCCTTCTTGTCCCTCTGTGAAGTCTCTTCCACCACATAGGGCTCAGGGCTGACAAAGCCCCCTCCCTACCCTTGTCAGACTGGACACAAAGTCAGCCATGAGAAAGCAGGAAAACAAGGAGAAGAGAGTCTGAAGAGACAATTTGGGAGGGTTCAAAAGGAGAATTTAGGATTTGCTTCTGCCCATGGGACACAGACTGAGAATAAAAATGTTTTCCTGACTCTTCCCTGAAAGTCAGATAGACTCCACCTAAAACCCTATTGCCAATGATGCAGGGATCCACTTACCAGAGACTCTGATCGTCTTGAATGTGGAACGTCCGCTGCCAGTGGCTGAGTTACGAACAGAGCAACGATAGAGCCCGCTATGCTTTGTAGTAATTTGGGGGATATAGATCCTTGGTCCTGTTTGCAGAAACTTCCCATTTATCGTCCAAGTATACTCTGCCGGTGGATTAGAGTCCGCGAAGCATGACAAGTAGAGGTTTTGTCCTGAACGGTAGTCGGTCAATGAAGGGAAAATGCTGGGGATGTGTGGACCATCTGGAGTAAAGAGAATAAAGCCACAGGTGATGTCGTCCAAGGGAAGGGGATGCTCCTGGTCTCTTAAATTGACACAGTGTCCCCCTGAGCCAAGACACACCCTCAAGTCCCAGCCAAACCCCTTCTGTGTTCACTGAGACAAGGCCTGAGGTATTCACCAGTTTCTCCCATCACAGGCTGTAGACCCCAAGTCTCCCATGACAAGAGCATCCCTTCCCCTTATGTTCTTGGTTAAGGCTGTGCCTACCCAGGTTTTCCCAGGGCAGGGAGTCATGTCCCGCTCGGGTGTCCAGAAATAAAATTGTCTGTAAGTGGACTTGAGACAGACTGAGATGTCTGGTCTCTGGTCGTTTGGATTTAAGCTGGTGGCCTGGCCCACAGAGGAAACAAAGATACAGAGGACATCCAGGGTGACTGGGTCACTGCAGGTGCTAGCAACTCGGTCCCATATTTCACATTCATAGGGTCCTGTATCATTTCCTGTGACATTGGGTAGAATGAGGATCCTGTTTTTACCAGGTTAC